ATTTTTTTATCTATAAATAAAATAAAATTATATATATAATATTTACAAAATTTTACATGCCCAAATTTGAAATAAAATATATAAACATTAAAATCTATAAACTAACTAAAAATATATTAACAAAGTAGATTATAAATAATAGGATAGCTTTTTGAAATTTTGGGAAGTGTAAAAGCTACTTTTTAGAAAGTTGAAAAAGTGGGGCCCGGCGCGTGTTGAACAAAGCTTTCAACCTATTTGGTTTATATTGCCACGTAAGGCGAAAAGTGGTAAAAAATTAATTAAAAAATAAGTTCGGGGGGTAATAGGACCTTAGTAAAGGTTAAGTGTGTCTCAGGGATTTTGGGCATAAGCTGGGGGGTACTTATGCATTTTCCCTAATTAATACTTACATTGGTTATAAATAACATAAACAAGTGTATCCAATAAAATATTATTAATACACAGAGTTAATACATACATTATTTTTATCTAATTAAGTGTATCGTTGCTAATTGATACCATTTCATGGAGATAGATAATAAGAGAAAAAAAATCCAGCAACTATAGAATCCGGTCTATAATCTTGAATCAGATTCCTGAAATTTTCACAATTATTTGTAGAGTGAGTCCATTAACTTTTGATCAAAGTAGGTCATTATTAAAATCAATTCACCAAAATAGTATGTTTTTTTGAACTTTTACAAAACTAGTATAAACGTAGTGTAACGTTCTAGGTTATATTTTATTCAAAAAAATTCAATAACAAAAAGACAAAAATCTGACAGGGTAAAAATCTTTTATGACTAATATCGCCTCTGTTCTATTTCATTGTCATTTTAATATTTTCATGTCTATTAAAAAAATAAATATATATATATATATATATTTAAAATAGAGTTTATTAAGTTAAACTCAATTTAATAAAAGTATATTTATTTTCTTTTTTTTCCCTTTTATATCGTGCCACTAAGGATATAGTGGAAAATAATTATCCACTAAATTATTTTAAGATGACTTTAATAAGCTTAAGAGATACTCCATCTCTCTCAATTTATGTCAAACATTTCGTTTTTCGAAAGTCAAATAATTTAAGCTTCATTGAATATTTACGCATGAAATCTTCAACATTTTTTGAAATAAAATTTATATATTTGTAAACTACATAAAATGCTCTATAAGTCACAATAATTGACAATCCAAAATATATGAAAAATTTACGGTCAAAAAAGACTTATTTGAATCACGAAATCTAAAATGTGTCATATAAATTAAAACGAAGAGAGAAGTTAATTTAGGAGGAAAAGAGTAACAATTCAATTTTAATTTTTTAAATATTATTTTTAATAAAATAAATTTATAAACAAAGTAAGAGCCGCCGTTTACCGTTCAACGTACTCTACTGAATTAAATTCTGGATAAGACAGAGAACTGTATTTTTTGTTTTTGTAACACAACAAAGTCAGTGATCCCTCACAACCACTAATAGAGAATTCAGTGCCTATAAATACCTTCCACTTCACCACTTGTTTCCCATCACATTTTACTACTACATTCAAAATGAGGACTTCTAAATTCACTACTTTTTCTTTACTATTTTCTCTCCTTTTGCTGAGCGCTGCCTCAGCGCAGAATTGTGGTTCACAGGGCGGAGGCGCACTTTGTGCCTTGGGACTCTGTTGCAGCAAATTCGGCTGGTGTGGTAACACTAATGATCATTGTGGTTCTGGTAATTGTCAAAGTCAGTGTCCTGGTGGCGGCCCTGGTCCTGGTCCTGTTACTGGTGGGGACCTTGGAAGCGTCATCTCAAATTCCATGTTTGATCAAATGCTTAAGCATCGCAACGAAAATTCTTGTCAAGGAAAGAATAATTTCTACAGTTACAATGCCTTTATCACTGCTGCTAGGTCTTTTCCTGGCTTTGGTACAACTGGTGATATCAATGCCCGTAAAAGGGAAATTGCTGCTTTCTTTGCCCAAACCTCCCATGAAACTACAGGTATTTTAGATCGAACAATTATAATTTCATTGTGAGTCAAAAATTTAGTAATAATAATTGATTATGTACCCATTTTTATAAATACAGGAGGATGGCCTTCGGCACCTGATGGACCATTCGCATGGGGTTACTGTTTCCTTAGAGAACAAGGTAACCCGGGTGACTACTGTTCACCAAGTAGTCAATGGCCTTGTGCACCTGGAAGGAAATATTTCGGACGAGGCCCAATACAAATTTCGCAGTAAACTTCTATATATTAACAATGATTTTCATTATATTGCTATGGAGCTAGATAAATCTATTTATGCTACGACTAAATTTGATGAACTTGTAGTATCTAATTACGTGTATTTTGACTTTAATAAATACAGCAACTACAACTATGGGCCATGTGGAAGTGCCATCGGAGCGGACCTTTTAAACAATCCTGATTTAGTAGCCACAGACCCAGTCATCTCATTCAAGACAGCTCTCTGGTTCTGGATGACCACTCAATCACCAAAGCCTTCTTGCCACGATGTCATCATTGGAAGATGGAACCCATCCGCTGGTGACCGAGCAGCTAATCGTCTTCCTGGATTTGGTGTCATCACAAACATCATCAATGGTGGCCTAGAATGTGGTCGTGGTAATGACAACAGGGTACAAGATCGAATTGGGTTTTACAGGAGATATTGCGGAATTCTTGGAGTTAGTCCTGGTGACAATCTTGATTGCGGCAACCAGAGGCCTTTTGGTAGCTGATTCTATGTAGCAACTTCATTATATGTTTTGTTGTATTCTCGCACAACGCAAGGATCAACTATTAAATGAAGTTTTAATAATATGGTTGTAGTTTGATTAGGACCACGACTATAGTCGTCGTTCATTTATAAATGAAGACTTTTATCCAAGATACATATATATCAACCTCGGATTTTTCCACAAGCATTACTCTTTCCCTTCAAAAGTTCCAACTTCAAAAACCAAATCAATGTGCACGTAGTTATAATTCATTTGGTAATTGTTGGGTGTTAATGGAAAATGAAGAGTTGCGACTTTTATGAAGAATTGTGACTTTTATGAAAAGTTATGACTTTTATGAAGAGTTGTAACTTTTATGAAAAGTTGCGACTTTTATGAAAAGTTGTGACTTTTATGAAAGGTTGTGACTTTTCCAAAGGTTTGTGACCTTTCCGGTAAGGCAGAATAAAAACTTTTTCACACTACCCTTTGTTTTCTATAAATTGAGGGATTTCCTCTCATTTTAGTTGAACTAATTTTTCTGGACTTCTTCTACTACTACTAAATCTAGTATTCTAAGTGTACTTTACTGCCGTTGAGTGGTTTGCTAACACCATGGTTTTAGGTACCGATACACCGGTGAGTAAGATCGTTCTATCCTGGGAGGATATATTCCATTAACCTCGGGTATTTGAGGGGAATAATTTCCTTAAGGGGACACTGTGCATTCAGTGGGCTCGATTTTCTTCATTAAGAAAAATATTTTGTATATTGTTTCTAATCTGTTTCTAATTATATTTTCTCTACTAGTTTTAATTTTCTAGTTTTGAAAATGCTCTTTAAACTTTGTTGTTTCTTATCAAGTTCTTTAAAGTTTTTGTTCTAAGTATCTTAGAAATACAAGATGAACAACAGTAACCACTTGTACAACTTCAAAAACCAAATCAATGCTAGCTATACAAACTTGTGATGGGGGTTTTGCCCGACCCTTACACGTATACTATATCATAACACAAAAGATTATATAACCTTAGCCTCCAAGAAGGCTCCTCTCCAATGTTAGGTATATAGTAAGAATTAATGGGAAATGGAAGGAATATGAAAAGAGGAATTTGAGAGGTTCTCTTACGCTTTAGTAAAAGACATTAATTCCCTCATTGATGGCGGAAAGAAAATTTAAAGTGTTTAAATAGAGAAACACTTCTACTAGTTGTTAAAAGGGTTGGAAAGAGTGAACCCCCTCGCGTTGTCGTTGCTCAGTCGGCTTCGGCTACGACTTTGGATCGAGAGATTATTTTTTGGACAAAGTTTGTTTTAATTATTTATTTAATTATTTAAATTAAATGGCCAACATGTTTAATTATTTAAATAATTAGCTGAAACGACTCGACCCAATTCGGATCCGTGCGACCCGTGTTTAAAATGTTTTCCCGTTTTATTTGAATTTCCCACCGCTAGAGATGACTGTTCTGAAAGGTTATAACTTTTTAGGAACAATAATGACCGTCCTGGAAGGTTGCAAATTTTAATGAATGGTCGTGTGGTTTCTGAAAGGTTGCAACATTTCGGAACCAGTGCTTCTTGGCTATAAATACATGTGAATCCTCAGACTTTACACTTACGAAATTTCTGAACTTCTTCTTTTTCTTCTACACAAATTCATTATTCGTGTACTTTACTGCAGTTGAGTGGCTCGCTGACACCATTGTTTTGGGTATCAATACACAGGTGAATAGAATCGTTCTATCCTTGGAGGATATATTCCAATTCAAACCTCAAATATACTAGAGGGGAATAATTTTCTTAAGGGGACACTGTGCATTCAGTGGGCTCGAATTTCTTTCCTTTCTATTTTATACTATTGTTACAGATTCTGGTATGTTTTACAGTCATTAGTTTCTGTTAATTAATTTATGTTCTTCACTACGTGATTTAAATTTTGGAATTTACTGTTTCTGCAAAGTTTTGTTATCAGTAATATTGATTTGAAATACAGATTGAATAACATTTTGTGGTCCTGGCAATTGTCAGAACCAGTGTCCTTCTGGCCCCTCTTCTAAACTACCTACCACTAATCCCGATCCCCTTGGGGACTAGCTCAAGCAGTATCATCTCAATACCATGTTTGATCAGATGCTTAAGCATCGCAACCATAATGTCTGCCAAGGAAAGAATAATTTCTACAGTTACAATGCCTGCCGCCAGGTCTTATATCCTGGCTTTGGCACCACTGGTGACATCACTACCTGTAAAAGAGAAATTGTTGCTTTCTTTGCCCAAACTTCCCATGAAATTACTGATGTTTACATCAATTTAAATTTGATGAATTCAACTTTTAGATCGAACAATTATGTGAATCTAAAATTATATACTCCCTCTGTTCCAATTTATGTGACACATTTTGTTTTTAGTATTCCAATTTAATTGATTATGTACCCGTTAATATATAGGAGGATGGCCTACAACACCATACACATGGGGTTACTGCTTCCTTAGAAGGAAATATCCCGGGCGATTACTGTACACAAAGTAGTCAATGGCCTTGTGTTCCTAGCAAGAAATATTTCGGACGAGGCCCCATCCAACTTACAAGGTAATCTTCTATAGGTTGACAATCATACGGAGGTATCCTAATTTTTAACTGATGAACAAAAATAGAATTATAAATTTGTATGCCATAAACTATTAGTGTCTAATTATGTGTATTTTGACATTAACAAACACAACAACCTCAACTATGATGCTGACTATTATGATTATGCTTATGATAATCATCAGAATTTGGCAATTTTAAAAACCATCTGGGATTACAAGAGTAAAACTGGGATTTCCCACATCCACCCTCGCTTAAACTACTTGATTTCATCATGTATTCACTCCCAAATTTGAAAATCTCCAGGGAGAAATTAGCGAAAATGATCATAGCATTTAAGAATAATTACAATGATGCTTGGGAACTCAACGGAGATAATCCTGGGTTGGACAGGCCTGTTGATAGAGAAATTTTCAACTTGTCTATGCGATTATGGGGTGATCAGAAGGAATTTTATGATGGCTGGAAATGGAAATAGCGAAAAGTGTGATGCAGTTTAAGAGAATGTGAGAAACTGGAGCTGTTGATCCATTAATTGTGTCATTTCTTGTTTGTTTGCAACCAAGTTCGAAAAACCTTATGTGTTCCATGTATTTGGATTTGTCAAAAAATCAAAATGTTATGTTTGTTGTAACCTAGTCCTAGCAAGATCCCCGACTTTTCACTTTCTTTCAAGTGTAATAAAAACGGTTCGGATTTGTCTTTATACTTTAAAGAGTCTAACTTTTCCATTCGTTAGAAGTTTGACTCATTCATTTCATGTCCTCGGCATTTAGATTTGCCCTTATACTATAAGAGTTTGATGTATATATACCTTATATTTATTTTGTTCACAATATACATCAACATGGAAAGTCTCATGAATTCGGCAAGTTACTATACTTGAGAAAAAACAAGTCAACAAAGGCATAATACCTAAACATGACCCTTAATATAGCTTCCAACTATGACCTTTAACTTTGGGTGTCCACAAGTATACATTTAAATTTGTATAAAATTGAACAAATAGAACATTCGTCCTACATGACAACTTTGTGTCCTACATGACATCCTACGTGTATTTTGCCACGTAGGACACATGTGTCTACTTGTTCAATTTTATACAAGTTTTAAGTGTTCACTTGTACACACCCAAAGTTAAAGGGCATAGATGTCAACTAAAGTCAAGTTAAAGAGTGTGTTTGTGTATTATGCCTATTACAAATGAGAATGCAAAAATATGCCACGAAGGAAGTTGCGTTATTAAATTCAAACTTCCTTTCACAAATGCATGAATTTTAAAAAATAGATTGTTTATCTAAAGTAATGTTAAACTATTTTCTTCTTGTCTTTTCTTTCAAATCTATCTGACAACACGTGACACTTCATCACTTCTTTTTGTATTTATTGGTTTAGGGTTAAAGTTTTAGAATTTATGATTTAGAGTTTAGGGTATAGACTTGCTATTCTTATTTTTTTAGTGCGATATGATAGTGTAAAAATATATGTTATATTACCGATATATCGAAGTTAATCTAATTTAAAAATTTATCTTCTATTTAACATTTATTACATAATTATCTCATATGAAGTGTTTCTGCTAAACATTTCATATGACTTTTTTCAGTAAGTACTATTTTAGTCTGTCCCAAAAAAATGTTAGCCGAAGGAGAAGCAGTTCCTGGAAATGGAGGAATTTCATCTTCAAATCCTGAAACAGAGCTACTATGTGATGAATCATTCAGTGAAATTACGAAGGAGGGAGTAGAAGAAGAAGAAGCTATTAGCTTTGATTCGTTGAACGTAAGAGATTACGTACAGATGAAGAAGAAGAAGAAGATGCAACAGAGGCTATTTCTGATGCGAATAAAGTACCTAGAATTCAATTGATGAACAGAATGGAAATCACAATTCAGAGCAGAGTGGAAATCAAGAATCTGAAGTAACTGATGAAAAAGATGGTGGAAATGAAGAAAACAACAAAGGAGCCGAAGAATCAGAACAAAATGAAGGCCAAGAGGATGGAGAAAATGGAGATAAAGAAGAAGAGGAGAAAGAAACAGAGGGTGGAAATCAAGAAAACAACAATGGAGAAGAAGATAAAAACGAAGAAGACGAAGATGAAGAAACAGAAGAAAGAGAGGACGAAACAGAGGAAGAAGAAAAAGCGGATGAAACAGAGGAATTGCCCCAATTTTCAACAGCTGAAGAAGAAGGCGAAAAGCACGATCTGGAAGAACACAGACAGAATGTAGGAGGAGAAGATAATGTCAATCGTATAAACTCTGAACAAAATGAAGGCAACGAGGATGGAGAAAATGGTAAAAAAGAAGAAGAGGAGAGAGAAACAGAAAGCTGCTGAAAAAGGAAAAAGACCATTATTCGAAGAATCAGAACAAGATGAAGAAGAGGAACAGAAACAAGAAGCTGCTAAAAAATGGGAAAAAACATCATTGGTACCCGTCACACCAAATTTTTCATTTTATAATCAAGTATTGACTAGGCTATCCTTTTAATGCTAACTCACGCTATCAGAAATTGCAAAAGATAATTATATGGATAGTTTGTATCGATTGAAGGGAGCCTTAGTATAACGATAAGAGTTGTCGTCCTATTACTAGAAAGGCATAGGTTCAAGCCATTGGAACTACCTCTAAAATGGACCCAGTATTGTCCGGTCTTTCCTCGGATCATGTGTATAGTGAGAGAGCTTAGTGCACCGAGCACTCTTTTTTGTTTCAATTGAGATTTAAACCATTATAAAAAAAAAAGGCAAAATGGTCTGGTGGACCCTTGTACTTGTATGTGTTTGTATTGTGAATCCTTCTACTTGCTCATTTGTCATCTGAACCCCTGAAATTATTGAAACACAATATTTTAAACACTATTTTTGACTTGGCATCCTATGTGGCATCTAATTCTAGAGTGTGTGTAAAACACACCTATTAGGAGCGTGAGACCCTTGGAAAAGGGTCTAAAAGTCACATTAGGACTTTTATATAGCCATCATCTTCCTAGTTGGATGGATCTCCATTGTTGGATAGAATTTGAGGTTTTCTTGGCCTTTTATTTTTTTTATCTTTTTCCCCCAAATTTCTTCTCTATTGTTTATTATCATTATACTGCTCTCTTTATTATGAAACACCCCATTAAAGACAAACACTACTTACAAACATCTTACACTTACATTAAGCATAAAACAAAGCAAAATTTTCAAGAAAATCAATGTAGTTGACTAAAACCCAAAACCAACCAAGAAATAAATAGAAGATCAAATCCAGATTAAACAACAAATAAATTGAAAAACCTACCTAGATAAGTTGAAAATCAAACAAAAACAACAAAAAAAAAAACTCAAATAATTTTCGAGATTGACCCCTGTTTCAACATCCACCACTCAAATGACCCATGTTTTAGATCCAACCAAACACAAACTTATTGCTCTCGTCCTCTTCACCTTCTCCGACCAGAACGCCTTCATTCTCACCGCCTCCAACAAGCTTCAACCAATAACTATAAGCGAGAACCAACAACAACAACAAAAATACCAAACCAACTCCGCCAATAAGTATCGACCTTCCTAAAACCGTTAGCCCCGAACTCCGGCGAGATTGTGAACAACTAGAAACAATCAGACCCCACTATTCCTTAGGCCACCGGTCACCACCAAAACCCCAAT